TTATTGTTGCGATAGTTACATATCGTCACGACTATGTCCTCATAACAGTGAAATATCGGTACAGATAAATTCCCAGTTTGGCTATACTATAATAAGTATTACTAAAAGTTGGATATTAGTATTTGATATAATGAAAGAATGTGTAGATTCTATGTTAAAATATCAGGGTCACCGTCAGAATGACGTAGTAAATCATATTACATATCATACGCACAACTGGTTAATTTAAAATCATACAATCCATCTTTTATATTCTATATAAGTCAAAGTAGAATAGAAAATAAGGTAATGAATAGCACCTGTTTACTTCATGTCGCATACTCTTTATCGTCGTTTCTAGTATAATACCTTAATAATGTAGTATACATATATATAATGTATATTAACTCCATTGCTTGATATAATAACCTATTGGCTCTATTATTTATGGACAAGAACTCTTTGAATAGATATCTACATGTACAGTAGTATTAACCTACATTACTTTCAATACGTTCCTTAATCATATAAATGTTTGAATTGTTCATTAATAACGACGTTTTTGGTTTTTAATGAACTTTCGGCATACTTTTGATCATTTGTTGATTAGTGTCCATGACGTTTGTCAATTGAAATGTATCCTTGCAGAAATCATATATAGATACTTAGTCATAAATAATAAATTTCATTAAAGAGCGATTAAGCTCACTGATAGATAGTTACTGGCTAACCAATGAACTGGCGACGATTTTTAAAGAACTTTGGGTCGGATAATAAGATATTTTAACGTATTTATTATATTTCGAGAAACTTTCGTGGGAAAAGTAATTACAAGTGAACAGTCGAAAACATGTGAAATCTTTAGCTAGGTGTGGTATATGATTTATACGTTGCGAAATAAAATATATTATTATGTAAGTAAATTCACTTTATTTTTATATTTCGTTTCGGATTTAAAAATTTATACATATATTTAACTGCTGTTTATATCATTTAAATACATGATATTTCAACAGATACGTAAAAACAAATAGAGTGGTTTTTTTCACCAGTGGATAAAAATAGTGAAAATCAAATAATTGTGTGGCATTTAGTATAAAGGTGGATTTAAAAGAAATAGAGTTGCCTTTTTCTCCAGTGAATGAAAATAGTGAAAAAAATAAATAAATAAATGTGTGGCTTTTAATTTAAACCTAATAGAATACGTTTAGTTTATTAAACATAAAAGAATATTTCATTATTTTTAAGCTTCTATAAAGCGATTTCTACGTCGGTATAAACTAATTTCTACCTTTTATAGAGATTTAAATCATTTTTTTATTATTAAATGTAGAAATGCTAATGTCTTATAAGCATGAGGAGGTAGGCAGGTCGGCTAGAATATCAAACTGCTGTTGATTAATTGCATGTGTCGCTAAAGATACGGTTAGAAGTTTAGTGAAATTTGTGCAACCAAGTTTTAATAATTGCTGGTAGGTGTACAGTCAGGGACGGTTGTAGAAAATGCGGGGCGCAATTTGGGAGGCCCGGAGTTACAGGATATGAATACATTGCAGAGGAGGAGGATATAAGAAAATAGCCATACCTGGCAGCCCTTCTGCCAAACTGCCTGGAAAAATTTTCAGGGGACCCTTTCTAGTGCGGGGCTCAATTAGGGGAAATTGGCAAACGTGCCAAAAACCCGCCCATTGTAGAGTCTCAAATGCTGTTATAATGGGCGTAGACCTTATTTATTGCATGTGGCCATTGTCAAATTTCGTCTGCTGTATATTTCATTCAAATACATAATATTCAACAAATATGTAAACACTAAAGGGGCTAATGAAGACGGGCATACACCATACAGTGTACTGTAAGGGACATTCTGTCCTAGCAGCGGTAGCACGGCCTACTGTCATAAGGAATTAAAAAAAAATCCGGAAAGATAAAGTGATTGTTAAATTTCTTGGAAGAGAGCAAATCAGCCCCACCCCCATCCGATGGAATGAACCACGTTTCTTAAAAAAATGGCTAGAAGTGATTCTAATTTGAAAACCCGAATACAATGTATATCTATTGCAACATTAAATGATGAAGGAATTCCCAGTAATTCATACAAATTTAGTAGAAGGAGTTTGTTTGCAATTATTGCATTATGCCAATTGAAATATATATATATCGAACAGCAGACCAGATTAGGACCCATACAAGCCTTAAGCATCACTTTAAAGAATTTGGTGCCCCAATTTATAATAAGCCATAATAAACCACAAATGAATTTACATTTGTCAAAATGAGGTTTATACGCGTCATTATTAATTAAGAAAAGCCAGGTAACAGTAAGAAAACACAAAAATAACGAAAACTAATTAAAAGATCGTAATTAAGCTTTAAATTTGTCATCTAACATGGCAGAAATTCCGTGGTGGCCCCATTAACTTGATGCCCTAGGCAGGTGCTTAGTTTGCTTAATGGTTAATCCAGCCTCGTTTAACGGCATTAAAAATATTAAACAATAATGACAAGTTAAAATAGCATTACTTGTATAGAAGTACCAGGAATTCTCATTAATAACTTTACAAATCGTTTAGGACAACATTGATCGCTGGTTTCAGTGAATAACTAAACTAAACATCGTCCTTTTCAATATCAATTTCTACACGTATACCCATTATAACAAAATATCTATCGTTCTTTAAGTTACTCTCAATGATTGAATAGGACGAAACAGATAACGATTTTCGATTAATGCCAATGTTTTTGCTTTTGCAAGTTTTGCTAGGTCGTTTCGGTTGCTATCCCATTAGCGATACTCTATAGAATTTGGACAGTTTATTTGCTGACAAAAAAAAAAACAAAACATTTTGTCATTCCATTTTAGGAACCCTGCAGTTACTTTAATGTTATTGTAATCGTATTATTATCGATTACCGATTTATTGGCTACAGTTGGTTAATTATGATGACAAACACGGATCATCGATAACGTTACTGTTTATCCATGTCAGTATGTCAGTATGGCTAAATTGAAGGTTTTAAGGAATTCTGGTATTTAAACGGATCATTCGTAACTAAACATTGAATTATATCAAAGAAAACATCACTTTCAAAGAATCAACCAATTAAACAGTGAAGATAATTCTTAAGTTTAATCGAAAAATTATTATAATATTATTTTGAAACAAAAGGCAGAGTGTTCTCTAGGCTATAGTTCAACCAGTATCTTTATCTCTGATAAGGTAAGGCAGTTTAATATGTAAATTAGTTTCCAATTATATACCATCACTTAAAGACACAGATTTAGGCCACTCCTTGCAATATCACCCCTAGCGTAATAACCGAGAATTTGATTAATTACGTTGGGCACTATTACAGGTGTTGCAATTTTAAGAATTCTTCGGAAGTACCGTTGACTGTTAGACGCTTAATGCAATACTTGATTCAGTTTTCAGATATTCTAGAGAATGAGGCAATACATAAAACTATGCCAATAAATGTTTGGTGGCATTGTGTGTGCCATAAATAATTACTGCCATGTGCACAGCACTAGTTCCATTTCAATTCTGGCTATGTGAATCTCCAGAATAAAGTTTATTACATCTACGTGAAATGAAATAAATATTCACCATACTGTTACGTCTAATACCACGTGTACGACACTAGTGTAACTGCAACCCTTCTTCTCACTCATTCTTACAGCCAGTAAATTAATTATAATCGAGGTTGTGAGATGGTGGAGTTCACACAGATCGTAATTTCGATAAGTCAAGTAGTATTTTAAAATTACAAACTGGGTATATTCGACTTCATACTATTAATAAGAGGTCGAAATGCTTCTGCTGGAACACAAATTCTCTTAAATTTCATACTGGACAAATCAGTGCTGACAGTTCTCGCTGTAATAGTTTAAAAATAGATAATGACAAGGGAATATGTTGAACATTTCAGTCAAATTACTTTATTCTTGGCGAAGTTATGAATGTTGGAAGTTTTTCATTTTCATTGCTACCTTTGTTACGATAATAAACAATGTCTCGATTTTCAATTTTTAAATTAAATTATTAAATGGCGATAGTGTTTCAATCCATTAAAAATCGCGACCAAAAGAAAGACCTGCAACTGGCAGATTTAACCCGAAACAGTTCATATGTCTTTGTTTAAATGTATTTAGAGTTTGTAGTTAGACATGGAGTATACCCTTGTACCTGATACCATAATTAAACATATTTTGCACCCGTGTGTTCTCCCATTTCGAGTTCTTAGGGGAGGTTAATCTTTTTAGTAAAAAATGAGGAGGTATAGAACTGATGCGCATTGAATCTTCTGTATTTAGGATGGGTATGCCTTTGAATATTCATTGCTAAATGATAGGTTGTGTCTAATAACAGCCTCCAGATAAGTAGCTTCAAATGTGACGAGAATGCCTGTTCCTGTTTGAATTCATGTACACTGTAAAAAAACTTGTGTTGAAACAACACAAACTTGTGTTGTTTTCAACACAAGTAAGGTGTCTCTATTTAACAACACAAACTTGTGTTGAAACAACACAAAACTTGTGTTAAATGTTGAAACAACACAAAACTTGTGTTAAAATTTATCAAACAACACAAACTTGTGTGAAAATCTACACAATACTTGTGTTGAAATTTTTGAAACTTGTGTTGAAATGTTTGAAACTTGTGTTGAAAATTTGAAACTTGTGTTAAAATTTCTGAAACTTGTGTTGAAATTTCTGAAACTTGTGTGATTTCATACAAACTTGTGTATAACCATCCACAAAAACTTGTGTTGTGTTTTTCCCCAATTTATATACAGTATAGCAACCTTTTTATGCAGGACCCATCTCTTTGCTCTGTTAGACCTGTAAAGTTTGATAAAAGAAGGAAACAAAATTTTTTTTTGTTTTTGTAAGATTATTATTTATTCATAAAATCATAGGAAAAAGTAAATTAATACATCAAAACTAAATAGATATTTGAAATGTTAACAGAAAAACAGAGAATTCTAATACTAATTATATTGTGTTATATATAATGACCCCCCCCCCCCCCCCACACACACACACACAAACCCCACTTTACCCATCACAAAATATAACATAGCTATTTAAATTGTTCTTAACCCCACACATTTTACCTATCACAAAATATAAAATAGCTATATAAATTGTTCTTTACCCCAAAACAAGAACTGAGAATATAAAGATATGTACACAGTATCCCTACCCCATACTCCAAAATATATAATTCAAATAATATCTAAATTTAATAACATCCAAACCAAGCACTAAGATTAATTATGCACTAAACTGAAACAATTTCAAAAACTGAAAAGTGCTACAACATCACACTACAAGTGATTTGTGAGACATATAGTAATAACTAATATACACAGAAAACTAACAAATGAAAAATGCACTATTTTGCAGGAGTAATAAAATGATGTAAAACCTTTTCCTCATTAAAAAAACCCGAAACAAAATGAATATTTTGTAAATAAAAGAAGCAAAGCATCAAGATTACAGGATTGAAATAAAAAAATATCATATGTACAAAAAATTTATATACAATCACAAGTCATAAGCCACAGTGGTTCAGTGAGTATAAGGTGTTGGCCGAGAAATTTCAACTGGATTTTCCTGCATAGTTCCCACTTGTCAGTAGTGTTGGATATGGCAAGAATAATTGGGTACAAGCCCGGAATCGAAAGAGAGAGAGAGAGAAATGGGGTTTAACGTCCACTTGACACAAACTAGGTCATTTCGGGATTAACATATGGTTTAATTTTATTTCAATAATTCGTTGCGCATAGGGGTCTTTAGCAGTGGGAGGAAACCGGAGGTCTCGGAGAAAACCCACAAGATTGGACAGGCGACCCTACTCCTTGTCACGTACAACCGGGGATTCGAAACCACGCCAGTTGACTCAATGACAGGCCGTATGATACCGCACGCACGTGCTTACCATTCGGCCATCCACCACCCCCTCCCCCATTCCCGGAATCGAAACCATCCCCACTGCGTTCACTTAGAAGAACCCTTGACAATTGAATTATTTGACTCAATGACAGACTTCCTGATCAAATGTGTGCGTGTTAATCATTCCCCCCCCCCCGGGTTCCCGTTAAAGAACCCTTGACAGTTGAAATATTTGATATAAGAGTAGGGTGTAGGGCAGAATCACTCTAAGAACACAGAAAAATAGGATACTAAACCGTATTTCATTTCATAAGCAAGAGAAAGTCACCTTTATGTAGGTCAAGGTTTTTTGTAATTCTGGGTGTATTTGATCTACATTTGGTTTCTAGTAATGCCTATTAAATACTTTATGATTTCTGACCAAATTCTAAGTGATTTATATGTCACTTTACTTGCTATATTATACATACATTTCTGAAGAGAATTAAAATCTAATTGTGTTTTGGAAGAAAATTTAACATTAATAACAAAAAATAAATATCTAAAAATTGGGTCAAATGCATTCTTTCCCAGAAGTATAAAATAAATTGATGCTTGGGTTTTCTTGTTGTTATCATACAGCAAATACTCTTTCAATGGTGTTCCAGCCTAAAAAATAAAAAGTAGGCAATAAGAATACTTTCTATGGTTCACAACGTTTAAATAAACAATTTATTTTGCCACATCGAGACCGAGTCTCTATTTGGTTTCAACTTTGCGTAACGCTTATTGTGTCTTGTCCAGTTACAGACCCAGGCAGATTATTATGCTCAAATCAAATGAGTTAGAAGTCAGAAAAAAGTCTTGAGATTTGGGACTGAAGTCTCATAATAGGTCAACTATTCACCCTTTCATACATGTATTGTCTGCAAATCCAGATTCCCTACTACATCATGGCAGCACCTATTTACTTGGCAATGTCTAATTATTTTTGGACCCATTCTTATTTTATTTCCATTGACAACAAATTGGATATTACCCTTTAAAATCTATTGAAATCTATTTGAAAGTAAAATACTGTCCATCATTATTTTATTGCTATTTACTGTAAAAATACACATACATGTAGGGCCTATCGCAACTTGAAGGAAATCAATGGATGTGATTGGCAAAAATCAAGCATGTCAAGTACTTGAAACAGCAGAGTCCTAGGCATTGCCCCAAGAAGAATAACTAGATTACCAAGCAAGTGTATAGAAGTACTTCCTGATTAAAAATACAAATATATATGTTACTTACATTTTGCGTGTTTTCCCCTTGTCAGTGATACAGGACGGAGGACCTGACAAGGACAGCTGTCTAGTCGTTCGGATGGGACGAAAAACCGAGGTCCCGTGTACACATTGGCGTGCACGTAAAAGATTCCTTGGCAATTGGAATTCGATATAAGAGTAGGCTGTAGCGCCGCTGCCCGGGCAAAATTCCCTTCATAGCACACTGTATGGCGTATGCCCGTCTTCATTAGCCCAATTTATGAGCAAAACAGCAGGATGTTAAACCCCATTTCATTTCATTTTCAAAATTATAAAATAATTTGATGGCTTAATATTCAAAAGGTACAGTCCTTCATGTTTATAAAATTGTACGGGAGCCATAAAAAGCTCCTGATACCTTGAATATATGCAGTTTAAAAGTAAACAAAAATCTCAATATTTAGGAGAGAAATGGGGTTTAACGTCCATCCAACACCCCCCCCCCCCCACCAAGTGTATAGAACCAGTTCCTGATTTAAAAAGCAAATATGCATGGTACTTACATAGTCTTTGTCTGATAAGCAAGATCTGTGAGAAAACGTCTCCACAATATCAATAGCCCTTTCCAACTTGATCTTCCGAGGTGGGTAACTGAACAAAAAAATGGCAATGTATTAGTTGGCTTAAATTGACTAGACAGTTTTGATTAATTAAAAAAATGTTAATTTAATTACATTTGTTTTGTTTCATGTGTTGGTTTGCTTTGCCACAGATGAGACAGTGATATCTACATATAACTAAGATTCTGTCTCTGCTCATACATGACGTGTACAGTTTTACTATACTAAACTGAATTTTAGATTTCAAAATAGCATAACAATCTTTTCTATTAGAATTGAATAGTTACCCACCAAGAAAAAGCTGCTCTATCATCATTTTTTCCAGCCATTTCTTCTTCCATTTTTTTCTTTTATAATTTCTTTTGTTATTACATGATCTTTTTCTGGGTGATTTGCATATACATCCAATATTGAAAATGAAAAAATAAATACATGATATGTAATTTACGATTAAAGCTACATTACCATATATACAAACTGTGTGATATGAAATTGAAACTAATGTATCTATATGTATCAAAAGTTTTAATCCCAAGGAACTACCTAAGCCGTAAAAGTCTATCTTAATAATCCCTGTTTGTCACATGGTTTAACTGTCGCAGTAATTAGAAGACGGCCATGGTGACTGAGTAAATTAGGTGCTGGCACACTAGCATGGAGGCCACAGGTTATCTCTTGGGGTTGACCGAGAAAGCTCATCTTGATTTTGCAGAGTGGTTTCCCCTGAGATCCAATGTACACATTGGCGTACACATAATAGTTCTCTTGGCAGTTTGAATTCGGTATGAGAGTAGGCCATAGTGTCGCTGCCCAGACAAACATTTTCACTTAGCACAATGCATTAGACCAGTCGGAGCTGACCAGTAGGACGTTGTCTTTAAACCCCATTTCATTTCAGGTAATCTAGTATTTTTCTAGTAAGATTGAAGTCTCTCTACTTTCTTTATATGTAAATATCATATTTGAAATAAGTCATACTTTTATTCGATATGGGGTGGGGCTGGGGGGAATGGTCTAGTAGGTAATGCATGCGCATGAAATCACAGGGTCTGTCATTGTGTTAAGTGGCATGGTTTCAATTTCAAGGAATAGAGTCGCCTGTCCAATCTCTTGAGTTTTTTCGCTGGGTCATTCGGTTTCCTCCGTTTTCTAAATACATGTACCCCTACGCCAAGCGAATTATTCATATTAAATTGAAGCATACCTTCTCTAATCTCTGGGTCCTTTTGTTTCCTCCTTTTGCTATTAAATACCCATACCTGCAAGCGAATTATTCATATTAAATTTAACCTTACCTGTCCTTTTTCCCGAAACGACCTAGCGTCTGTAGGCTAAGTAGATATAAGGACCCATCTTGCAACAACTCTACACGTAGGTTCGTGCATAATTAATATTACAGTAACATACCAATTTTTAATACAAGTAGAATGAGACAGTGTGCAGGGAAAGGGTGGAAACGGAAGTAGGCTAATTCTCGTCGTAGTTGATTACCAGTATGCATATAGGCACAGCATGGACTACTTGATTCTTCAAATACAAGTACATGTAAGGCCTTGTTTATGTCATTTCTCTCTCTCTCTCTATGTTGCACGTAAGTGCCATATAAATACTTTATTTTGGATTGTATGTTCACATACACTAATCATTGTAGGACATTGGTAAAAAACAATTAGAAAATATAAAAATTAATAGAAATTTTTACCTGTTTTTCTTTCATTCAATGCCAATGGAGTCCTTGGTAAATTCTCAATAATTATTGCTGGAAGGTGGAAAGAGTCACATATCATCATTGACTGGAAAAAATAATAAAACTATAGAGAAACTTCCACAGGCTGATTCTAGTTCCATTATTTATTAACTGTGACTGAATCAGGGAAAAATGGGGCCTAATATTAAATATTACACAGACTCACAGAGGTTGAACAACGGATTACATGTCATTTGGGACTCGCGTCATTTGGGACTCAAAAAAATATGACCACGACATTTGGGACTCGGGTATACGACGTTTGGGACTTTGGTATACGTCGTTTGGGACTCGGGTTAACGACGTTTGGGACTCGAGATAATTTATTAGAAATAGGCCAATTCAAAACACGAAAGAAAATATTTATTAACATGAAACACGTGGTTAGTAAAAGGCTCAACCAAACGATAAAACATTAGTTGCACTTACGGTTCTTTGATAATCATCGTTTCTCATAAAAGTTTTATATTTATTTAAAACGAATAATATGCTGATGAATTTATTTGAAAATGACCTACACAAAAAACAAAATAAATATTTACACGACATGCAATCGTTTTTTACAAGCCCCTAGAAATTGTTAACGATAATCCGTGAGCTGCACGTTGACATGCTTGTCGTAGATGGCAATACCAATTGATAAATTAGTGCGTACAAGGCAAAGTTTTTTTGTGGAAAATATAAGAAATGGCAACGAACAAAGCGGGATAATTAAAGCTGATTAACTGATAATCCCAATGTTATTACAGTATGTTCAAAGAAACCTAACGGTTTTTTGGTGGATGAGGAAAAACGTGAGTTGTCAATCATCGAGAATGGCGGCCGTGTGTTGATTGCAGTTATACCGTTTCACGAAAAAACATTAGCAGTGGTCGGTCAATCAAGCTCGTTTACTATTTATAACGCAAATTTTTCGTTTCGGTTAAAACAAAATATACGTCCATTTTAATTGGCCGAAGGATGTGTGACTAATAGAAATATGGCGGGCGGACAAACTGACCAAACAGTATATTTCGAGGTATTTGAGGTAAGCTAATTTAATATTATATCATAACTGCATGTGCATACTTGTGTTTCTGTGTGATTAAATATTCAAAAAATCATTCTTAGGATACAGCCTCGACACCAGTCCGCCTTGAATTGCAATGTTTGTTTTGTGTTCTGGGCGCCATTTTGAAAAAAACTGACATGACCTATATAATACAATCCAGCGATAGTGCAGTCAATTTCCTTTAAAAGGGAATCCGGATTTGTTAATTTTCTGCAATATCACTTCGGTGGTAGCGGACGTTAAATAAAGCTATTTCACGTACAAAGACCTACAATAAATCCAGGTGAATTGGGAAAAATATTCATGTATTTTCTTGATGAAGAGTAGCTATTTCAATTTGTAAATGCCCAGTCATCTTAGACAAATAATAATTCCAACTTCAAATCAGTTGTATTTATTCAAATCATACTATGAATAATTGTATTTTTCCACTTGCATAATAATAAAAACTTGACTTTTATTATTTTATTTCTTCAGGCCAAGAACATGGAAAATTGGTAATTGCCTTGTATCACTGCTAACTATAAGGCACAGGGAGCCTTGGGCAGAAATGATAATAATATGGTTCTCAGATATGTTACTGTGTACAGACTGAACAAAAAATATATATACACTTGCTATTACATGTACATTATATCATTGGCAATAATAAGATCCAATTTTAGTTTTTAGTTACACACTGTTAACCACCAATAGATGACAATAAATCATAAAATGTATTCAGCTCGACGTAAGACTAAAATAAATAGATACAGTTGGTTTAACTTGAATAGAAGTTTTAATTATCTATGCTGCATATATGCATATATCACCTTACAGCTGAATCACATTACATATCTTTTTAGTTGATGTTCATATCGTCTTACGTATTTGTCAACATCAATGTGACCTTGTTCTATGTCACATTAGCCTTTTCAGACTTGTTACCACGAATTTACTCACCACACCCTCGCATAGTTATGAATTTATTGTTTCACTTGACTAAAAGAACATTTTGTAGGAATGTATGCTTTTATAGATTGGACACTTGTTTGCAATATCATTGTCGGTGGAAACTGGCACTATACCTAAAGAATGACTGAACAAATAGCGGAGACGGGGTTTCAGCCGGCTGATTTAAATTATTTCTTTAAATACAGTAAAGCTTGAAATATGTCAGTTTTCACTCTTTAGAATGTTTTTGTAAATAAGTTTTTATTGTAGTTTCCGTGGCGTATTCCCAATAAGCGTTAGAAACAAAGATATACACCCTTAATCCCGGTGCCGATAAATGTTGGGTTGTGTGGAACATGCTAACAAATCTCGGGTACGATATATATGTTTGATTCTGGTTGAGAACAGCATGAGAGCAACATGAATGTTTTCATTGGAGATGAGACGCAAATATTCAAAGGGGTCAGACAAACTCTAAACCAACCGCGTTCCCTTTACTGAGTCCCTTCAAAGGAGGCCCTGTCTGTCTACCTGTGGAATAACATGCATTTGTATCTGTTAAATTTGTGTGGTAGACAGATTGATATTATTAATATAACGTCTTACCCCAAACAAATTGCAAAAGAAACCATGAAGTTTCTGAGAGCGATATTTCGTAATTAGTGTGCTTTAATGGTGGGAGAATAAATAATTTCTTTTTAAATTTTTCAAACACAAACTGGTCATATATAAAATAGCATTTTCTGACAAGACCAGCGATAATCTCGTAAGATATGACTTTTACTATGTCTATTAAATGGTTTTCGACGTCTCTTCAAGGTCACCGTCTTGCGCCAAAGTCGCGAAACGCACCGTCGGGGGATTTGTTGGGGCCTGTCTCCCCCAGAAAAATTTCTAGAAATTTCAAGTCGGTCTTGCCTGGCCGTGAATACGGCAACCCGAAAGTGGTCGATTTTAATGTAGACATCTGAACTCCAATCAACAAATCAATCAACCAGGCTGTTGTCGTTGCATTCACATGACACCAGACGTGTCACCGATGAAACAAATATGCCTGAAACAAATGTCGCTGTTAGTGCGACCCATTTGTGACAATTTCAAGGTCCCAAATAATAGTCCTTTTTTACTATTAATAGTAATTCAATCAGTAAGTGCTATTTACCTTATAATAGTCGTCTTGGCTTTTACCCGACATTACACAAAACACCAATGGTAACTGTCGGGTGGTCTCTCCAGTCTTAATGAAGGCGTGGATGGAAAACAGCTGAGACCATGGCTTGTTCACCACCCGAAAAGTTGCATCCATATACCAAGTTTTTGCGCGTGCGAGTAGTTGCATCTGTCTATCAGTACAAAAAATGTGATGGCGCCTTTCCCCAACTTTTACTCTTTTTTGATAAAATCCCGGTGCACTATGATCGATGAAATCTTCGTCAAGCTAAAACAAAAAATAAATAAAAAAGTACATTTAATTACATGTTAATAAATAAATAAAATTGTACATTTAATTACATGTTAATAAATTCTTATATACATGGGTATTTAATTGCATGAATACTTACCTTGACGACACGTCAGTGGGATCTTTTGGTCGCAGAGTCTGTCGGGTTCTTTGTAGCGACCTTACAAGTGCTGCCATGGGTGGTCTGCTATGAATGGGTTCTTCTGCAGAACCGACACTGGATAAAACTCTCTCCGCTATTGAGGAACATGACTTGGTAAAAACATTTCCTTTGGCTTCATGCTTTGCCTGTAATGATAAGATAAAACATATTAAACTACAAATATATTATTGGTTTATTTATATTTTATTTATTTACACACATATATAAATTTTTAATTTAATTGATATATAATTTTTAAACCTACTGTAACTTTTATCTTGGTAGCCGTTTGTATACCGGGTTCTGCTGGGTGAAGATGGTTCTTTAAGCCTGGTTGGTATGTATCACCATCTTGGATTACTGTTGCCGGACATCGTGTTGGTCCGCTTCTTTTGGAACACCTCCAAATCGTAGTTTTCTTCTCTGTCTAAAATATATAGAATTCATTTATTATTATAGAGTTAACTAGGTTAACTAGAGTTAATTATCTTTACATTTTGTAGCTGAAATACATTTCTATACCAGGTAGTTAACTAGGTAAAATAAATCACCCTACCTTAATTGTATAACTAAACCCTTGGTTGTCAAACAACTTGGACTTGCCACGGGAGGAACCAGCTTCTACCTGCGTATACACCACTACGGGTTCTTCGTCGCAGAAGACACTAACGTCGGCATCGTCTGAGATGGAGGACTCCATGACCGGAACTGGCACATCGTATCGGGTTTCGGCTGTAAACGATTCTTCTACTTCCATAGGTTCAGTTGTTGGGACCTCCATAACTTCTTCTTCTTGTTCGTCCATATCTTCTGTCTGCTTATTAGATTAAAGGTTGTTTTTTTAAACATAAATTAGATTACAATTCAACTAACACAAAAGTGTAAAAAGATTTTTTTCTAGTCTGTGCCCGCGTTTATGTCTACTCTTGGCAAAATCGTTATAATATAAAAAAAATCATGAAACAAGAATCAAAATGGCCGCCAATCGGGTCTCCAACGCCAATCCAACCTCCCAAGATATAATTTCAAAACAGATTCTTACCTGCTGGTTCAAGTCGAGCCGTTTCTGCTTTAATCATAATGTGATTCTGTAATGTAAGTATTTGAACAACATCGTAGCGCCGAACAACTAATGTTAATTAAGCATGATTTCAGAAAAATTGAACAGATTTGATAATAACATGCCGAAATTTTTTTCCTGACCGCGCCATATTATAAACATGAACTTCCGGTTTAAATTGTTGGAGTTTTTTTTAAGGAAACGAAATACTAACATTATACAGAGAAACAATATCGATGCTAAATTACATACATGGTATTATTTTTTTTATATAAATATTCACAAACCTGCGGTCTATTATTCTATGTGACCATTAGCTTACATTTGTCAAACATATCACTGCTCCAAAATCATTTCAGCACGTTGTTAAATGTTAAATTAATTGTGTGAAATCACGTCATTTAATGTCCGCTTCCACCGAGATGATATCGCAGACAAAATGTAGCCTATAGTACGTTGATTTTATCAACCAATCACATTCAATAACAGTTTTACTTATTTTCTTGTCAACGCATTTGGAGTCAATTGTTAAAATCACACCGGGCATGAGCGCTCAACAGGCCTTTGATCTACCAGTTTATTGGGCCCAACTTTATTTTAACTACAGACATCTTAACACCAATTAGCATTCAAGTCTGTCTGGCTATATTGTCTGAGTAAAAAATACCTTTCTCTTACTTGTAGACCCCGGATTAAGACTTTGTATGGAGTTCAAATTTAAAAAAAAAAAAATTTGTTGACGGTACACATTACTTGTGTTAATTATATGGAAAAAACACAAGATTTGTGTTAATGCATTAAAAGGAACACAAGTTTGTGTTAATGCAATGCAAAACAACACATAACTTGTGTAGAATAATTTTCACACAAGTACTTGTGTTGAGATCCAACACAAGTTTTTTTTCAGTGTATGCTTGTATAGGCTAACAACGACAATATAGATGAGTTTGCAAAGACACACCACAGAAAAACGTAGATCTTATGTTTAAAGACTGGACTTGACATTCCAGTTTCTCTAAACCATTATACTGACTTCCTGCATTCATAAACATCTGTCCAGGGCCGGCGTAAGCAACACATGATTTTTTTGATTTTTTAAAAAAAATTTTTTGGGGGGGCTACCATCCTAAGAATTTTAGGCGAGGGTCCTGGGCCGCCTAGGCCCCTGAATCTCCTGGGGGTCTAAATCTTCGGAGATGCTTTCTGGGCGATTTCTGGCTAATGATTTTGATGTAACTTAAAAAAAAATATGTTTAGCAAACATCTGGGTTCCTTTCCATATTGGCGCGTAATGGACCGTAACTTTCTAAATTAAGGCCCCTGATTGTACCCTCTTGATGTCACATTTTTTTAAAAATCTGTTCAAATATATAACCGTTACACCATACGTATGGGTGAGTCCGAATTTCCTAAAAATCGGACCGAAACTTCCCATCTAATGGCTGATTCCCTGTATGCAAATTGTGTAAAAGCACATAATACCAAGGTTGTAGTCCGTCTAGAGGCAACCATTTTCACCCGATTTGGATGAAACTTAAAAAGAGTGTCACTAGTTCTTGGATGAGTTTAATTTTAGTGCGCATCAGCCCCCAAATTTATAGGAAATTACTGCAACATGACACTGGTCATGTGACAGTAGGGCCTACAATATTGGCCTAAGCCTCGTTTAGCCGTAAACACGTCCATTAGATAAACTATTAATTAAGAAAAAAAGAATATATTTCTTTTTGGACAATTAAACTAATTATCCATTCCTAAACGGTCCTCATACAAAATACAACTAGATATAATTCCCCCCCCCCGCAGATCGCCGCAAAGGTGTTTCAATTAACCTGCTTACACACCAAACAAACGCTCACGTAGAAATAAATTTATTATATGGGCATTTTTCACAGAAAGATGAAATTACGGTAAAGACGAAATGCTAAAAAAAATTGAAATGATTTTAGTTTCTTTGGTCTTAAATGAAGCTCTGTCCAATGTAGATTTTGTATTTCAATTTTGAATGCAAGAAGTCAAAATGTTAATGAATAAATCCATTTTACATAAATCCTAATTAGTCTTTACCGTAATCCACATTACGGTAAAGACCTTACGGTAAAGACATTCAAGAACACAATGACTACATGGAATAAATTACAAATGGCAGATTCACAAAGATTTCTCATAATGAAATAAAATAGGGCTTAATGTTTTACTTTTGTGAACCGACCAGGCTAATGAAGACGGGCATGCATCGCGCACCTACTCTTCGTCAAATTCCAACTGCCAGAGGTTCTTGTTTTACATGCACATATGGACTTGATTATCCTTGTCCTGCTCTACTGACAACAAAGGGGGGGGGGGGGTCAACACCTGGATCGAACGTCGGACCTCATGGTGTGTGGGAAGCCGCTGTGACTCATTGATCAAGACGCATGCTCACTAACCAGGGGATCTCTGATTCATTTCCAGCGTTGGCCGAGAATGTGCCTTCAGATCTTTTAGCATGATTGTCTCTTGTTATTGGTGCAGGACAGGGTCAGTGACCGTGCTAAACATTCGGCAATGGTGACGATTCTTTTTATTGGCGAATAAAATGATGATACTAGCGAAAATTTTGGCGAATGAATTTTAGAGAGTGTTATTTCGTGAATCTGCTAATATTAAACTTGAACTCGTCTCATTCAACGCTTCTTTCGATCAACTCGTTGGAGTGTCTATTTTTAGTACATTAATTACTCAATCTTACAAGTCGCAAATCAGTCAATGTTACGCATTAAAACTATCAAACACAGTTCCGTCCCTTTTGTGTGGCACAGCGTTGCTTACATTACATTTGGCTAAAACTTTCTGAATTGGCTAATAAAATTTTGATTTGGCTAAAAATTTGGCTAAAGGTTTTAAGAGTCTACTATATATAGGTTCTGTGTACATGTTGGCATGCATGTAAAAGAACCGTGACAGAATTCGTAATAAGAGTATGTTGTTGAACAGCAGTTCGGGCAAAATAGTCCTCATAGACTACTGCATGGAATACATGTGCATGTCTATCTTAATTATCCCGGTTGGTGCAGAAAAGTAAGACGTTAATCCTGGTTTCATTTAATTTCCTGGTAAGTGCCTCCAAATTAGTTTTAAAATAAATTTTGTAACATAAATAAATGTCATACATGTAAGTTACAGCAGAGTTTAACAAGTGCAACATAAACCTTTCACAGCTATGGTAAGGCAACCAGGGGGACAGACTGACGTTAAGGGCCCTAGTGACATCTTAAGACATGGCCCTATGCAAGCCTACTCCGACCCTGGGTGAGCCAGCACCTTATTCACTGCACATTTTTCATAATACATGTATATATATCTACATGTAAGCTTGTATGCTCTCCACTTAAAAAGTTACTCCCAAGAACTGTTTGCGCATTCTTTGCCAAGGCTACTTAAGGTAATAAGTTTTTGAATAACCGTAGAGCAAATGATCTGAAATCATCTGCAAGTAATCCTCATACATGAAATAAAACTATAGTTGATGTCAGGAAAAAAAATCAAACTACTAAAATTTATCAATAATTGAAATGTCCATATAATGTCAGTCTAAATATTAAAAATCATTTGACAATATATATTAAACAATTAAAATTTAAAGTAGTCAATTAAGAATTCAAATAACTGACAGATAAAACATTTAAAAAGCAAAGATTCGACTTAAAAAATAAATTGTGAATAATTCACATTTCTCTTTCAATGTTTTCAATGTATAAACTTGCATCGAAGCAAATATGGTGCGGAATGCATGACATAATTTTTAACTTTTAACCTAGCAATGCATATATTCTTACATATAGAAAACTGACTATATTTACACATGTTAAAATGCTAACTTATTTAAGATTTATTCCTTAAACACTGTAGTTTGATTTTGTTTTATTTCCACTATTACTTTTCATTTATTGATTAACAGATTATATTTTATACTCAGATTAATTTCGTAAACATTTTGACATTTCATAATTTTTAATACTGGATCTAAACGAGCCCATAGCAGAAGGACCATGCCTGGACTCACTACTGACAGTCCCGATACACTTTGTCACCAACTTCTTTTATTCAAGACAATAGCATGGGCTGTATGAGTGCTACCAGACATGGACTATTAGCCTTAAATGTTGCGATTACATGATTAATATTGGTAACTAATTCATTCAGTAAGACCTTTTAGTTATTATATGTGTCATATAACCACAAATAACATCAACAATAAGTCTAAATTTACACTTAAATCTGTCATTCTTCAAAGACAAGTCTTTACCGAAATGCCAACCTGTAGACCGTAAAGACAGAATGTTATGGCGGTAAAGACATAGTTTAGTGCTTGGATGTCATAATTATAAGTCCACAATTGAATGGTCTAAGCCCTGGGTTTAGTGAGAGATATTTGCTGTATATTCTCAATAATTTATGCTTATTAATGACAAACTTTGACGGTTATTGTAATGTTGGTAAAGACTCTCCAAAAGTGCGACATTTAGCTTTCAGAACTTAAAATTTCATGTTCTGTCATTTTATCACATCTTCTGGCTAAGGCTTTATGCCAGAAGGACACTCAAAACATACTAGCACTTTGAAGTTAAAAAAAGCGCCCTCTATATGGAAAGACATAGTGAATTTCAAATTTTACGTTCAAAGTTTGATGTCGCATAAAAATTTACCTTTGGTTAAACTTGACATATTGTGTGTTTAATATTAAAGCTCTGTGCTGTATGTTTTAAACCATTTAAATATTTGTTGATTTGAATGTCATATTTAATATTGAAAAGATGTTTTTTCTCTCCCTATATAAAAATTTTGCCATGTCGGTAGGGACATTTAGTGCTGTTTATAACACCGAAGTAAATCATATATTGGTTGTAGAATGAAAATAGTGCGTGTGCCCTCCAAACCTAACTATATTTCACATATTCTGTGTAAGATTTATTACCATCAGATCATTAAATGTGACAAAAAATTGTGTTGACTGTTTTGACTCCATTTTGTGAAAAACACCCATATATACCAAGGTGTAGACTAAGTTATGATAGAGTACAATTCATTATAAATCTTTGTAGAATTATGAAACTCTGATACAGGTTTATATATTCAAGAGGGCTCTCCAGGGCGGTCATTGTTTATTAGGTGTGGGTATATTACAGACAAATATATACAGGACCTACTACAACGATTATTCAGATTTCTTTATATAAAGGA